CCATCCCCTGCCGTTCATCTGCCACTCTGCTTGCCGGCTCGCGTGCGGTGGGGACCAGCTTTTTCTTCCCCTTCCGCCTCCTCCTTTCTTGTCTCCAAACAGTTTCCCCCCGGTAACGGAACGGAATGGCAAAAACCAGCACTTCAGGTTAACGCCGTTCTTAACTTCACGGCGTTAAGTCTTTCCCCCCGTTAATTAGAAGTTAAAGAAGGAAAGACCTTGTGTGTAAAAAATGGATGGTGATTTGTATGATTTGACAAATAATTTCCCACAAATAATAGATTCCCACACAACAACAACAAACTTTCTTCTTTTATTATTTTTTTTCTTTTTCTTTTTAATACGTAAAATGAGTTTGTCCCATTTCAATATTGTTTTTACTTTTTGTTTTGTATGGAAGTTTATTTATATTCTCTATATCAAAATAATCATTTTGGAACCGAAAAAATATTATTTACAAGAAACTTGTGCTTAGTTAGATCATTTGTGGATTCGGAATAAAGATAAAGGAAGGAATATAGAAATTTAACGACTACTAGTACTGAAATACAGTATAATTAATTAGTGTTTCTCAAATCATATTTGTTGAGTATTGATTATGCCTCATACATAGAGGGGTTGCCTGATAGTGATAGAACATACCACCCACTATATGTTTTGATAATAGTTCCAATTCCAATTTTCCCTTTTCTGAATGTTTTTTTATTCTCATTTTTTTCCAACAAAAAAAAAAGAAAAAAAAAGAAAAAGAGTTTTGGACGCTCTCGGTTTTTTTGAGTTAGAAGCTGATCCGAAAATTGATGACCTAGAGTAATTATTATTTGAAATGTTTTTAAATGTGTTCATACCCATCCAACAACGTTTGGCCAATTTAGCAATTTGGAAAGATTTTCGATAAAATTTGATAGGATCACGATAAAAAAATTCGATTCTTAAAAGGACGCTTATATAGTTCATCAGTCTAATCATGTTAAAGTTAGAAGCATCACTTTGACAGGAGACAACAACAACGATACATTTTGGCCATGAAAGTTTAAAAACAGTGAATTTTTTGTGAACATCAGCTGTTTGCTTGGTTTAAAAGTTCGCTAATTAGCTTTATGTATCTTGACATAAAAGGTTATTAGAATGTTATAGGCATTCTCATCCAGTCTAAAGAAATAGATGGTTGTTTTGTTTTTCAAATCGTTACTTATACTCCTATATCCCAAAATGATGTACTTTTTAGATTTTGAATTTTAATTTAATTTACACAACAGATGAAATTTCAAACCGGATGATAATATTACGGACGGAATAACGGCGAAAATTTAGTAATATTAATACATAGAGTGTGCTACTTTGATAAAACGGAAAAAGTAATATGTGACAAATATAATATTATGCCCGGAGTGGAGTGAGTAAAAGTCGTTTTAGATCTATTTTTTGGGGGGTTTCGTTTGATGATAACTCACATATTTGAGATTGGAAATTTTTTTGGTACATGACGCTTCTAACAAGTATTTGCATGTATTATGAAAGAATTTGTTTTTTGTTTTATTATGCTTGGACGGATTCTAACAAAATTAATGAAAGTTTCTTTTACGTATTCCAAAACTAACTACGTATGGAGGGATAAATTTGCTTGATCGGTTAATAATGATTATTAAGGAGCGTAAGGTTTCTTAAAATGAAGCAAGTTTTAGGCTAAATATGATTGACAGAAAGGTTAGCCCGTGGACGGAATATGGGCGGGGCCTCATGGGCAAAAGTTTGTTTGGGCCCTTTTGAATGAGGGGGCTCCACCAACATAGGACCATTTTGTAAGGAAACGGGATGAAGGGACGTGAGCGCACGTGCTTGAAGGACTTGAACGGTGCGTCGCTCTCTTTCTCGTGACGGTGTCACGTGGGATTATGATATTTAGAATCCCCGGACCCATCTGGCCCCCTACTTTTTTTTCCACCGTTTTTCTCTCCCCTCAAATTTTTTTTTTTTTTAATAGGTACCTAGATTAATTAAGGGATACATAAACTAGTACACTGCATTTTCGCATAAGCTAAATTGTGTAGATCATAAACTACCGTCTTGTCTCCCCTCAATTGAGTAATATACTGGTTCAATATAGATTTTTATTTTTAATTTAATTTATAAAAAACATAATTTAAAATTAAATAATAATTTTGAGACAGAAAAAATAATAATTAGTGTGGTAAGGGGCATGAGCACTAATTCCGGTCAGTTCATTTTGGATGTTGCAAATTCTTGAGTCTCGCGTGTCACACTCACGTGCTTAACTCTCGTGCCTTTCTTTCATTCTCAAGTGGTCCTTGTATGAGTTACCTGGTCCCACCCAAGTGCAAAATATGTGCACCAGTGGAGGTAGAGTCTTTCGGCTCTGTGTGTGCATTTTTAGATTTATTGGGCTGTAACTCATTTGGGCCTTTTAAACGATTGGTCACTGTTCTCTCAAAATTTTCTTCGTTTTTTGGGGTAATCGGCCTAAAACATGTTTCTTGTGCAATTTAACAAATCGTTTTAGTACACAAGGTGCATGTCTTAAAATCATACAAAGGGACGATATTTGAAGCCCTGTACAGTATTTTTTTTTCTTTTAATAATTCTGATCTATTTAGCCCCTGTATTATCTATTCTATGATCTCAATAAACTGAACTATGGATACATAAGTAATAAATAAAGAAATAGTAATATTATTGCAGGAAAATTTTTTAAGAAAGATATATATGAATTGAATCATAACCGTTTATAGTTTGAACTTACCTTTATGAGGAAGTTAAAATTCAACCACATTGTTTTTATTAAAATTTCCTGTAAATTTTTTCAGGATGTATCACTATTCATAATTATAAAAAAATCATTTGAATTTCTTTCCCGAAGTAATTCAAAGAAATAATGACATATGTAAAGGGAGCTGCCAAATGAAATTCTTTGACAAGCAACTTGTCCTAGTGATTAGGGTGTTGTACCCTTAACCATAAGATTGAGGTTTAGATTCTTATCACGGACGCGGGAAGCATGCAGTTGGAAGAGGAAGTAGGTAGCTGATCAGCAGCTAGCTTAAGCAAGCAGGAGGCCTGCAATCATCAGCCACGGAGGACCGGATAGTCCGAGCAAGAGGATTACGCGAGTAGAGTCTCCCCTTAGTAGTACTACCCCTTCCTCAGCAGGCTCTACCTCGTTGTAATAGCTTAGGTATCTCAAAAGCACCAATAGATGGGGCCTTAAAAAAAAAAAAGAAAAAAAAATTCTTTGACAAGTGAGTTGTTCAACCTCACAAGCGTAGCCCAATCATCGTTAAAAATTTGGGCCCATGTGTCCATGTTCATCACATGATGTCAAATAGCCCATTTCCAATCGGCTTACGAAATTCTTCTTGCCCCAATACCATTTAAAATTTCACCATTTTTGGAAGCTTTGTTCAAGAAAACATGGCGTTGCAACTTGCAACGATGAAAAGCATACCTCCATTCGTCCTCCTAAAGCAAGGTTTTCTTATAAAAAAAAAAAACCATATTGAAAGTTTAAACTTGAAACAATACGTTTTTTTGGTGACAAGCAATTGCTTTTTAATTTTATTTTATTTTTTGTTTTAAATTCGTGACCTAACAAGATTTTGAACCTTCAAACTTCGTGATAATAAAAATAAACTTCCCACTTAACCTCCAATTGTAAGTGAAACATATTTTTGTATGGGAACTAGGAAAAAGAGAATACCTTTTAACAGATGAAACTTGACAATAGATTTTAAAGTGATGTTTCCTTCTTGTGTTTTACAACAAACTTTTGCCTTAACATGATTTTTGCTTTGTTATTAATTAGAAAGCAAGTAAATTTAGTTTATAAGGTTAGTAGAGATATCGTTGAGAACACGCATAGAATGACAAAGGCGACTTTAGAGTTGACTACAAGTTTGTAATCATTTATTTAGTTATGAATATAAATTACGATAACTAGAAACCGAGTAAAGTTAGTCTAGAAGGTTTGCCACCCCATTTTCCCCTTGAACCGAGACTATGTGTTTATTAGATATGTTATCTAATTACAAGCCCATTTGTTGTGTTTATTAGATTTGTTAAATTCAATACTCCCTTCATTCCAAAATAAGTGTCGTTTTAGCAAAATGGAGAAATTCTAATATAAGTGTCGTTCTCACATTTCAATGCACTTTTTGTCAAAAGTTTTCAAAATTATCCTCAAAAGAGTTGATGCCATTGGTGGACAATTTTATAATGGGATTCGTTGAAGATATTCAAGTAATTTAATTACCCTATTTAAGAGTTTTTTAAACTATGTGCAAAGTGTAGGATGACACTTATTTTGGAATGGAAGGAGTACACCTCAAAACAAGAGCAATGTCTGTGGGACAAAGTGAAAATAAACATTTGATCCGATAATATTTTATCCTAATAAATATAAATTGAGTTAATAAATATCATTCCATGCATCCCGTAATGACTGATGATCTTGTACTTTTTCTTTCTTAAAAATTAAAATTGGTTGGGGGGGGGGTTCATTTCATTTTAGATTTCACAAGAAGATTATTTTAAAGTCAACGATTTTTAGAAGAGAAGGAAATAAAGTCAAATTGTGAAATAGAGTCAAAAGAAAAAGAAAAAAAAAAATGTACGAGTCCTCAAATTGTAATTCGCGGAACGACGCGACAAGTGACACCCCCGGGTTAAACTAGTAAAATATTCTTCTTCATTTTTTTTTTCACGATCCAAGACTTCGATAAATCAAAATAGCCTCTATTCAAAAAGTCAATCAGAGAGAGAGGAACAAAAGCAAAAGAGATGATGTTGATGAAGACGATGATCATCATCTGCCGTTTGATTCTCGTCGCCGTCATCAATTATCCAAGGCTTTGATCATCATATCTTCTTTACTATTCACTGTGAGTTCACTTTACCGTTCTCCAAATTTACCGGGGGGGTTTTTTTTTTCTTTCTGTAATATGATGTATGTTGAAGATAATGCGCTTTTTTTTTTTTTTTGGTGATGATAAATGTCTGAAACGGATTTGATTGTGATGTTAAGATTTACATAAGAAAGTGAAGGAGGAAAGAGAAGTTTCGGTTTAATCTTAGTGTTGATTTAGGATTTAATTTATGTTAGGTTTGAAGTTATACCTTTTCGTCAACCTTAAAACTCAGAGTTTCAGTGGAATAATTTATTGCGAAAATGAATCTTTAATGATTGATAATAATCCTTTGATCAACTCTAGCGGCGATCACTTTCGTGAAGGTTATAAAGGCAAGATTAGGAAGGTGTTATTGATGATGTTTTATTAATTTGGGAAAATGTTTATACTTTTTTTTAATTAAATAGTTATACTACTGGTTGGATAGTTTTCCGAGTTTTCTAGGTGTTATTGATTTCAGTTTATGTGCCTTTGTTCGGTTGTTCTTGAGACAATCCTGGATTTCCTGTCTGTGTGCGGTGCATGATATTCTCCTTGTTCATTGCAGAATTTGAATCTGTGGATTGCAGAGGATCCAGAGTTGGTCGCGATGTAGTTAGATTGCTTAATCTTCAGGAACTGCAGTTAACTGCATTGTTTATCTCAGTATCTTGAAGTATAAGGTGGCAAGCTAGCGATGTGTTTAGTTGGTAGACTGCTTACAAACTTTTGATCAAGCTTCCTTTGTTGTTCTGGGTTGGCATCTGTATATGAAACTGATGTTTGAGACTAAAGATTACAGGTTTGCTGCTGCCAATTAACTTGTAAAAGTTCAATGTCTCCTCAGTTGGATGGTCCTGTTTGTATTCCGAGGGCTATTGAAGTGCTCAACATTAGCCCCTATAGAGGTGATTGTCATGGGAGTATGTCAATTGAAGAAGAAGCTGCTTTTCCTGCTGCAGCAGGGAGAAGGCGTCTCTTTGTCCAAACTGAGAATGGCCAAGTTTTGGATTTGGATCTGGATCGAAGAGACAATGTTAATTCAGTCAAGAAAAGGTTGCAACTCGCCCTTAATATTCCCACTGATGAAAGCTCATTGACCATTGGGGATATGATACTGAACAAAGATCTTTGGGCTGCTCGAAAGAATTTCCCATTGCTTCTGACCAGAAATGTAATGCATAGGAGCTCATCCACTCCATCCCTGTCACCTACTGGAAGGGATGTCCCACATAGAGATAAGAGTGGCATTATTGAGATTCTTGGTCATTCTAATCACTTTGCAGGAATTTCTAAACTGGTTAATGAAATCACTATAGCAATCGAGAAAGGGATTGATCCAGTTCCTGTGAATAGTGGACTAGGAGGTGCTTATTATTTTAAGAATTGTAAAGGGGAATATGTTGCTATTGTGAAGCCAACTGATGAGGAGCCATTTGCGCCAAACAATCCTAAGGGCCTCACAGGAAAAGCTCTTGGACAACCTGGTGTTAAGTGGTCTGTAAGGGTTGGAGAGACAGGGTATCGTGAAGTGGCAGCCTATCTGTTGGATCATGATCATTTTGCAATGGTGCCACCTACTGCTCTTGTGAAAATTTCACATTCAATTTTCAATTTGAATGGTGGTGTCAACAGATGCAATCTTCAAAGTTTGGAAAGGGTCAGCAAGATTGCTTCTCTTCAGCAGTTCATCTCCCATGACTTTGATGCTAGTGACCACGGGACATCTAACTTTCCAGTTTCTGCTGTACATAGAATTGGGATATTTGATGTTAGGATTTTTAACACTGACAGGCATGCAGGAAATCTTCTAGTCCGGAAGCTTGACAACGTCGGAAGATTTGGTCAAGTTGAACTCTTCCCCATTGATCATGGCCTCTGCCTACCTGAAGGATTGGAGGATCCATATTTTGAGTGGATACACTGGCCCCAGGCTTCAATTCCCTTTTCAGAGGAAGAGATCAAGTATATAATGAAACTTGATCCTTTTCATGATGCTGAAATGTTGCGTGCTGAATTACCAATGATTCGAGAGGCATCTCTTCGAATTTTGGTACTCTGCACTATTTTCCTTAAGGAGGCAACTACTTCTGGGCTGTGTCTTGCTGAGATTGGAGAGATGATGAGTAGGGAGTTCCGCTGTCATCAGGAAGAGCCAAGCGAACTTGAGATTCTTTGCTTGAAGGCTAAGCAGGCTGTTGCAAATCATGCAGTGCCAACTACTGAAGCAGAAGAAAGAGAAGGAAGCTTTCATTTTGGTATAGACTTTGAGAATACAGAAACTGACATTTTCTCTGAGGTACTCGAAGATTTTTCCTGCCGAGTATCATTGCCCCCTGAATGTAAAAATGTACAAAGCTCAACTGGACTATCAAGATTGCAATATACTTGGGAGGAGGAGGATGCATCGGTTGATCAGAATGCAAGTGCAGATGATTCTATATTTGAGAGAGACCTAAACCATACATCTACTGATTCTAAGCTCTTGAAGCCTCCCAAGAAGATGAATTGGGAGGATAGCAGTGGAAAGCCCAAACTAGCTTTTCTGGATGGAACTTCATTTGCCCAAAGACGAAGTTCTGAAGAGTTACTTCCGTTGACAACTGGTTTTGTGAAATTTGATGACTTGAGTGAAAAAGAGTGGAGATTGTTTCTCTTTAGGTTCCAGGAGCTTCTAGGTCCAACACTTGTTCAATGGAAGATCTCAAGAATGGGACTGAAACAGAAAACAAGGCTTGGAGCTTCATGTGAGTTTTGAGACAGTAACCAGCTAGTTCTTACCAATGGATATTCTCAACGTACATCTGTAGTTAGTGAAAGAGATAACCGCGTAGAGAGAACCCTCGTGTGAAAGTTTGAGAGTGTTTTTTGAGTTGTTTCTCAGCTTTTACATAGAGAGAACCTATATAGTTATATATTGTAGAAATTCCTGTTAATATTTGGCTACTAGATGGTCTAACTATATCAGAGATGCTAAAATAGCCTGCTTTTTTCTTGCTTTGTTTCGACTCGCTCACGGATCTCCTATTTAGATCCGGAGGTCGAGCTCAAGCCTTGTTTTGAGACGCGCAGCTCAAGCTCGGCTCAGTATACTCTTAATGCAGACAAATTCATGTTACAGTTGCCAACTATGTTGATGATCCCAAAGTCCCAACATTAACTTGAGCAATTAAAAATTCATGGCAATAAGACGAGTTACGAACACCAGTACTGTTGCATCTAAATACTGGTTAAGACTACAATCAATGAATAAGCCTAGGAACTCCATGGAAAAGAGAACCTATCAAGAATTTCATCTATTCGGCTAAAAGTTACATAATTACAGTGCCAAAGAATAGAATTCGGGTCACAACACATCCCTGTTTGCTATTTTCTCCAACATGATGGTGTTGACCACATCCTTTACAAACACATAAAAACATTCCCGGCAAGAACTAGGCATTAGAGTTGATCTTTGGAATTGCAGATCAGACTCTTTGTGACAGCATATAGAACTGGAGAATTGACGGATTCCAGTTTTTGGGTACTCCAAACCACAAGCAACTAAGATGGAATGAGTGGCTGACCATGCGATCTGCTTGTATACAGCAATTTCTGCACAATAGTAGTGATAAACATCAAGGCAAAGAAACTAATGATGGAAACACTTCATACCAGGTCATACTACTGTGTAAATGAAATCATAATAATTATCAACAGAGGAACTGGTAATGCAGATTTTATGACATGTCCTAGAAGTCGTTCTGTACACAGAAACAGGGATTCAATTGGGGCACAGATACAAATCCACGGCTCCATAATATTTAAGTAAAATTATCTCATCTTTCCAACTTGTAACTTCTTCAATCATATCTTGTTAAGTAATAATAACAGAATAAACTAAGAAATTCTTAGGATTTTCTATTGAGAAGGAACAACAGCTAACCAATAAATATACTAGAACTTTGATAATCAAGAAATAGACAGGGGAAGAAGTATTTACCAAGTTTTCTACTTTTTGCAAGGATCTTCAAGTTGAGCTTGACAAGAGACTTAATTTCAATCTTGGAATCATCGTTTTTCATGGCATTACGGTGAACAGGAATTTTATCCTCTGCATCTTTGGCCATTGAAGGATCTTTTTTGCAAGACAATAGGGAAGACAGCTCATGTCCAGCAGAATGTAAATCTGAAGCTGCTGTTGCAGAGTCACCTGATGAACTCACACGGATAGAGCTTCCACAGTGATTAAAAGCAGCATGAGGTGATTCGAAAAATTTCTCGCGTAAGATTTGATCACTCCCATTTTGAACATCACGTTGAAATGAGCAGCATACAATGTGCGAAGATGTTGACAAGCGTTCTATTGGCGACGGAGAAATTATATAATCGATGCTATTACTTCTACTCCTTGGGTTACATAGATTCTGCTTTTCGGGCATCTGGTATTTCTGTATATTGTGGATTTTCCTATCAGAATCACGATCTTTCCTAACTGCAGGAAGCTTATCAGAGCGCTCAAGATGGCGATTGGATAAGGGACGCTTCAAGCTAGAACTTTTCGGATGCAAAATTCTTTCTCTTTGTTCTATTGACTTAGCTTTGTTCAACATTTTCCAAGCTCTGGATATCTCATAATCTCTTTCGTTTGTTGTACCAGGACAGCTAACAGTGACTTTTGCTGCGGTCGAACTTGATTGACTTGAACTGATATCAATTGCAGGCTTCTCTGGACTAACATTGGTTGTTTTCACTTTCTGAACTGAGAAAGATGTTGAACCTGATGAACCAGTACTTTCAGGCCGTACTGGAAGGCCATTGACAGTTTCCCTATTCTGACTTGAACTTGATTGGCCAGAATCTAAATAAATATCAGCAGTGTGTCTGCTATCTCTTTGTCTAGGTAAAAAAGGCAAGGATCCACTTCGAATACCGTTCCAATTATCACGTAATAATTTTATTCGGTCATGAACATCGCGGCACTGTCGTAATGTTCTGGCTGCCGGATTAGTTGCACTTGCACCATTCAGGATGAGCTCATCCGTCCTTGAATCAGGCGTGGACACATCATTATCTCTAGGTACACTAATTAACCCCGTTGTGGAAGATCTCCCAGCCACTCCATTCCTAGGTTCTCTAACAATATCAAACACAGACACTTCTTCTCCCTTTACTTGACTTTCATTTAAGTCGTTACAGTTTTTCTCACCATGAGAAACAACATCTCCCTCCACCTTGTTATGTTCATCCCTCACAAGTGCACAATCACGGCAAAACCAATCACCCTCAGGAATAGTTATACCAAGACCAACACAATACGTATGAGCAGCAGAGTCACAAAGATCACACAACAAAAGAAGGGTATCATCAACGCAGCTCTGGCAAATGCTACATTTAGATTCAGAATAGGGGTCGTCGGGCCCTATTGTTGCATTCCCAGATTCATAATAAACCTACTACATAGTAAGCATATGACATCACCATAAGAACACAACTTAAAACTAAGCAACAGAGAACTTTCAACATAAAAGAGAATACATTTTTGCTCCTTCAAACTGAGCAAGTTAACCATCAAATTCCAGAATCTAATAACATTAATACTCGACAATTGAATTCGAAATTCTTCATTAAAGTAAAATATAAAATAAAAGAGAAGTATACGGACCTGATTCCGTTCTGGGATATGAATCAGCCGGTCGGAGGGGAATACAGGAGGCTTTGCTGGGCGGAGAATGGTGGAAAAGCGGCGTTTACATAAAGGGCATTTGGACTCAACTTTAGCCCACTCCATAATGCAAACGAAGCAAAAGTAATGGTCACAGCTATCAATACATCCCCTGCTAACGCTATTCCGATCATCTTGGGCAGCCTCAGAGAAGCAAATTCCACAAGGTTGGAGCTTGTTTATTCCATTGAAACTCAAAGGGGTTTTCGGGGAAGAATTTTCTAGGGTTGGGTCTTCGGTTTTAAAGCGTTTCTTTGGGGTTTCGGTGGAATCTGAATCTCCAAGGTCGTGGGGCGCCATTGACGGAAGAAGAGCTAGGAGGAGGACAAACCCAGATGATTGGGAAAATCGTAAAGAAAGGCTTTTTATATGGGAAAGGAATTTCTGGACTGTAACTAGTAAAGGTAAATATTTAAGAAGAAGCTGTTGGTTTTTCACTTTAGTCCTGGGTAAATTTTGTTGGGTTCTTTTTCTGTTTATTTATTTCTGCCGACTTATTTGATAAAGACTGGCCCAGTGCTTTTTCTAAAAGCCCATTTATGTACAGGCTGGAGCCCATCGTGATACAAACCCATCTCTTTCTTCTATCAGGCTTTTATAATGTGCAGAGCAATTTCTTAACCCTTTTCACCATTTTTTTTCCCCTTTGAAGACCAGCCAAATTTCTATGGCTTTTCTTTCAATTATTTTTATTAATAATACTAATCATATAATAATATTATTATTATTAAATAAAAAAAATCTACTGAATTTTTTACTACTCCCTTGGTTCCCCAAAAATGAAGAATCTTTCTTTCTAAGCAAAAACAATAAAAACAAGATAGAATTTTCTCAAGCACAAAAGAAATATATGATTTTAATCAATCATTCTACATGTGTTCACATGTCTACAACTGACCGAATAGAGATTAGTCATTGTTTTCGTTCATGTGATATTGATTTTTGTCTCTAGTCAAATTTCCTTTCAAGCTGCTAATCAATATTTTGTTAACAAAAAATTAAATTACGTAGTCAAATTTCCTTTCATGCTATATATCATAATCAATTTTTTTTTTTTTTGGTGACAAAAACTTTAAATCAATCGACATCTAACTTTTGTATGCTATTTCCTAATTGGCCTCATGTTTCAATCTATCAACATTTGTTATTTATTTTTCTATCCAATCAAAATTTAAAGTACCATACAAATTGACTAAGCGGAATTTCTTTGCATGCATGTTACATTCAATCACCATCTGATTTTGCTCTATTTTTGTTTCGTTATTTCTATTTCTTTTGTAAGTCCGGATCATGCTAGAATGCTTATTCATTGATCATTCTTGACACGAATGTCGGTCACTGTTAAAATTAAACTAAGTTTATTATTGTGTTTAGGGTTATTTTTGTAATTTCTTATTATTTAGGGTTTAAAGAATAGCTACCCATATATATGTTTTTGGTTGGGGTTTATAAAATAGAAGGCAGAACGTGAGTTTTGTGGTGCGGTGCGGCGGTTGGCGAAGTCTGTTATTTGGTTTTACTTGATTAATAAGAGAGGCAGTACGTATTGCAAGCTTTTGATTAATAAGCTTTTGAGTTATTAACTTGTTTATTTTTCATCAATTAGTTTTTGGTTTCTACGTATGCCATCAGAGTCGGGTTCAGATTCAACAATTATGGCGGATCGAAATATTACGTGTTTAGGTCCAAAATTATTGGAAAGGTAAAATTATAATTTTTGGAGAATTCAGATAGAAACGCATCTTAATACGTTTGAGTTGTTGAAACATATTAGAGAAGAGATGGCTGCAAATGCTGATGAGACCGTAAATAGAAGAGATAGCTTGATGTTGTCTCACATATATCATGCTATTGAAATGTCTGTGTTGGGGAGAATTTCTACTGCAAAAACAGCGAAGGAGGCATGGGATATTTTGGAAAAATCGTATTGTGGTGTGGAAAAGGTTCAGAAGAGTAATTTGCTTATGCTAAAAAGAAAGTTTGAACTTTGTCAGATGGAGAAGACAGAGAGTATTGATGCATATTTCTCTTGGTTGAGTGAGATTAAGAACGAGATGGAGCATAATGGGCATATTATTGAAGATGAAACTTTTATTGAAAAAGTCCTCATAACTTTACCTTTAAAATTTGACTATGTTGTAGCTGTGATTCAGGAGACAAAAGACATATCAAAGATGACAATTGAAGAATTGTATGGTTCATTAATTCTTCATGAAAATAGGATTAATGAAAAACTTGATGAACATGTTGAAAAGGCATCACAAGTCCAACTCAGAGTCAGCAGCAACCCCAAATTCCTTTGCAGACTTACCAGATTCAGTATGATCAAAATCATGAACATGCTCAGGCACATCAGGCTCAAGCTCGTGGACAGAACTTCAGAGGTCATGGACGTGGAGGTCGAGATAATTACAAAGGTTGTGGTAGGGGTAATGGTTTTGCACCCGATAGTCAAAATATCCAGTGTTATAATTGTAGGGGAATGGGTCATAAAAGAAGAGATTGTTGGTATAATTATGATAGTAGTGATTGATGTGCTCAAATAGTTGAGACTGGTAACGAGGATAGTGAGACAATCTTATTTTCTACTCATATTGCGGAAGAAAGCAAAGGTTCGGATTGGCATGTCAATTCGGGATGTAGTAATCATATAACTGGGAAGAAGGAGATTTTTCCAGAGTTGGATGAATCTTTTAAAGCCACAGTGAGATTTGGCAATAATCAAATTTTACCTGTTCTAGGCAAATGTCGTATCCCTATTGTTTTGAAGAATAGAGAGCTGAGTTATATTGGTGATGTCTTTTACGTTCCTAATATGCTTCATAATTTGTTGAGTTTTGGTCAGCTGCTAGAGAAAAAGTATGATTTGAATTCTAAACATGGAGTTTTTACCATTCGTGATTCATACAGGCGAATTATTGCAGAGGTAAAAATGGTTCGTAGATTGTTTCCAATTACTTTTAATTATGCTAATGCACCTTGTTTGAGTGCCACATCATTTGATGATACTTCGTTATGGCACATAAAGTTTGTGCATTTTTATTGGCGGTTTACAATTCATTGGTAGGAATAATGTAGTTTCTGGATTACCACCATTGAATTTTTCTACTAGACAATGTGAACCTTGCGTTTTTTGGAAAGAAGCATAGGGATCCTTTTCCAAAAGGAAATGTTTGGAGAGCACGGCAGTCGTTGGAACTCATACATTCAGATTTGTGTTTAGTTGAGGTTCCTTCTCGTGGAGGTAATAAGTATTTTATTACTTTCATTGATGATTTTAGCAGGAAGACATGGATCTATTTTTTGAAGCAGAAATCCAATACTTGTGGTATTTTCAAAATTTTTAAGAGTTATGTTGAGAAACAGAGTGGCTATTTTATTAAGACGTTGAGGACAGATAGAGACACTGAATATATAGTTTGTGATGATTTCTTAGTGAAGCATGGGATTAAGCATCAGATGACAACAAAGTATACTTCTCAACAGAATGGTGTTGCTGAAAGGAAGAATAGAACTATAATAGATATGGTGAGATCTATGATAAAAGCAAAAATTATGCCCAAAGAATTTTGGGCTGAAGCAGTTGCATGTGCAGTTTATGTTTTGAATAGGTGCCCATCAAGAAAAATTTGAAGAAAGACTCCATATGAGATTTGGTCTGGAAGGAAACCCAATGTCTCGCATCTCAGAGTCTTTGGTTGTGTAGCTTATGCTCATGTGCCTGATGCTATTAGAAAGAAACTGATGCTTTGAGACTAAAGGCTATAAGTTGTATAATTCGGAAATCGAGACGTTTGTTGTTAGTAGAGATGTCACTTTTGATGAGCATGCAGCTTGGGAGTGGTCATAAAAGGAATCAGAGAGTTCACAACCACCACCGCTCCCATATGTTGATGAAGAAGATGAGCATGATCAACACCAAGAAGCTAGTCAATAATCTAGTATGAGTCCTCCATGTCTCGAGAACACCGATGAAAACAGACAAGATTACCAGCTCGATTACAAGATTGTATTGTGCGAAGCGAAGTTGATGATTTAACTGATGAAGGTATGGTGATTTCGCCTTATTTGCAAATTGTGATCCGGTTGACTTTACTGAAGCTGTAAGAAATGAAAATTGGGTGAGAGCAATGGATGAAAAAATATGTGCTATCGAGAAGAATAATACCTGGGAGCTTGTTGATCTTCCTAAGGGGAAGAAACCCATTGGAGTGAAGTGGGTGTACAAGACAAAATATAAGTCCACTAGGGAGATTCATAGGTACAAAGTAAGATTGGTAGTGAAGGGATATAAGCAGAAGCCTGGTTGCAAGACTTGATACCGTTCGTTTGATAATTTCTCTAGCAGCTCAGAACAATTGGAAAATTCACCAAATGGATGTTAAATCTGCTTTTCTGAATGGAGTACTTGAAGAAGAAGTTTATGTAGAGCAACCTGTTGGGTATGTCAAGAAACGGCATGAGGAATTGGTATACAAACTAAAAAGAGCATTGTATGGTTTGAAACAAGCTCCTAGAGCATGATATACATGCATTGACACATTTTTTTTTTTGTTAATAATGGTTTTAAAAGGTGTCCGTATGAACACACTCTATATGTCAAGTCCTTCAAAACTGGTGACATAACTATTGTGTGTTTGTGTGTTGATGATATGATTTTCACAGGAAATGATGAGCAGATGATGTCAGAATTTAGGGAGGGTATGATTAAACAGTTTGAGATGACAGATTGGGTTTTATGTCCTATTTTCTTGGAATTGAAGTTTTAATGTTTGATCGTGGCATCTTTATTTCTCAGAGGAAGTATGATGGTGATGTTTTGAAGAAGTTTAAGATGGATGCAGCTAATGCCATTTTGACTCCTGCAGAAGAGAAGTCGAAGTTAACAAAAGATGAATCTGGAAATTTTGTTGATCCAACCTACTTTAAGAGTTTGGTTGGAAGTTTGAGATATTTGACCTCTACAAGACCAGATATTAATTATAGTGTTGGTTTGATCAATATGTTTATAGAAAATCTTCGTCAATCTCATTTACAAGCAGCAAAGAGAATTCCAAGATATATTAAAGGCATACAGGGAGATGGTATTTTTTATTCAAAAAACGAACCAGTTGAGTTGGTTGGATACGCTGAGAGTGATTATGGTGGTGATACAGTTGAGAAGAAAAGTACTTCTGGTTATGCTTTCTTTATTGGTTCTGCGTTTTTTTCATGGAGTTCGAAAAAACAACCAGTGATAGCATCGTCAACAGCAGAGGCAGAATATTTACAGCAACTAATAGTGCCACTCAAGCAATTTGGTTGAGGAGAATGCTTGGTTTTTTGCAGCATAAACAAGAAGGTAAGACCACAATATTATGTGATAATAAGTCAGCTATTGATTTGACTAAAAATCCGGTTTATCATGGTCGTACGAAGTATATTGATATCAAGTTTCACTTCATTCGTGATTTGGTGCGTACAAAGGAAATTGTTGTTGACTATTGCAAGACTGGAGAGCAAATTGCGGATATTTTTACAAAGGCATTGAAGTTAGAGACATTTGTGAAGTTGAGAGACATGTTCGGCATGATGAATGGAGAAAATTTAGTTTAAGGGAAGCAATGTTAAAATTAAACTAAGTTTATTATTGTGTGTAGGGTTGTTTTTGTAATTTCTTATTATTTAGGCTTTAAGGAATAGCTACCTATATATATGTTTTTGGTTGGGGTTTATAAAATAGAAGGTAGAAAGTTGAGTTTTGTGGTGCGGTGCAGCAGTTGGCCGAAGTGTAGTATTTGGTTTTGTTTGATTAATAAGAGCAGTACGTTTTACAAGCTTTTGAGTTATTAGTTGGTTTATTCTTTATCAATTAGTTTTTGGTTTCTACAGTCACTTTTCTTCTCTCTATGATTTATTAATCATTACAATACCTCACTAGATAATTTTATTTTCAAGTGCAAGAAAATAAAAGCTTTTAACAAAAACAATCAGTTAATCAGATAACAATTTTTAGTACCATTTCAATTTTGTTTAACTAAGAGGTCTTGAAACTCCACTACAAATTTTAAACAAAAGAATCAAACTTAATACTTTTTTTTTTTTAAATTGTTAATCAATGAATTCGACAACTCGACCCTAGAGAGATGAGCGTAGTAGTGAAATCAACTAAGCGTAATAAGTTGTACCAAAAAAAAAATACTCCCCCCGTCTCACAAAAAAAAATAATCCAGTTTGATAAAAATTCTTCTCCAAAACAATAGTCCAGTTTATCAAAAATCAAAATTAAAACAAATGAAATGACTTAACTGCCCTGTCTGATAAACAAAATCAATCGGTACCAAACTTTCAATTCAGACGGTCAGGGACAAGCTTCGGCGGCGAAGTCTTAAATCCAAAATTGTCCGGCGATAATGTTGGAGGAGAGAACGACGGTTACTGCTAATCGAGAGGATGAAATGGCGAAAGAAAAAGTCATTGCAAGAGTCCCCGACGTTATCAAGACCTTCCGCAAAAGTTGATTCTGAGGTCTTCACTAATTCTCGAATTTTTTCGTCTTTTAATCTTCTTAGATGATGTCTTGCATATCAAATTTATATTTTGTTGGAATCACTGAACTGTTAATTATACTGAAGAAATTTTGGGCAAGTTCTTCCCTAGCTTTTTGCTTCTGCTTGTCATTCTAGTTTTAATATTAAGTTTTTGGGTTGCAGTCTGATGAAGAAAAGTTTGTTTCTGAAGTCATTTGGAATTTCGATTTCAATGTGGATTCGGTTAATGTAATCTCTTCTTTTTCTAGAGTTCTTGAGGTACTAACTTAGGATGAATCGTCTGGGCCTCGTACTAATTCGTCAATTTGATGACAGTAGCTTCCTTCATGGAGGATTTAACAAACTTTCGGATTTAATAAGCTCTAGGTGAGTAGGAATGCATATTTGTCCAACTAATGAACAATTACAGTCGACTCCTATGTATTAAACCATCTTTTCATATATAAGTAAGACACTTTTAGTACCTTCTCAGCCAACAGATGTCTAGACTTTGGGTACACACTAGTTTTCGTGTAAACTGTTTACTAGTAGTACAATATTTTTCTCAATGAGATATTTTTACGTTTTCACTTGAATTTTTAATCGGATAATTGGGTTTATACACATAGAAATAATCACTTCAGGAATTCTTTTAGCTTCTAACAAGTGTGCCTTCTATTATAATGAGATCCTAAACTGCTTATAATTATGAATGGTAAGAAACTTTTGTAGTTTGAATGTTAGTTGCTGGCTATAGTTGCGAGGAGTTCTTTTTTTTTTTTGGCTTTCTTTTTTCTGTGCTTAGCAATGATGAATTGATGGAAACCATGATTTAGTTTGTTGATTTTCATGGAAATTCATTTGAAACTACCTAAAAGGTCTTCGGTTTTTTTCTGTCTCAATAAGGTACTCAAGTTGAAGTCAACTAATTGCATTTAGTACTTAAACATAGTTCTATTAAATTGATTCAGCTGCAACGAACCATGTTTCATCCATCCCAAGTTATGATCATTTTATTCAATTGATATTGCGGTTTATTGTTCTTTTGTTCTCAATGGCCCAATATGTGTTTTATGGTAAGGAATATGCTACCAATGCCATCATAGTCAATGCTATCATGAGTTGGAAGTTCCCTATAACTGATACACTGTGTATGGTTATTATTTAACAGTTTGCTGATTTCATCAATGTACGTCCAAAACTGATATTAATGATGCTGAGAGCAAGTGACTCGTGGAAGCGTGACAGGGATTCTTCATTTTTTGTTGAAGTTTAACTACGCAAGATATATTTTTCTTAAGAAGGTTGATCATAATCAGCTCTAAAACTCTTCTTCTTGCCTGAATTGTGGAAATTGACATCCCTTGAATTTCTTTGGTTGTATGACCTTCGGAAATTAAGGCATTTAGGTATAGAATTCTTTGGTCTGCCTAGCATGAAAATGGACAAGGGGAAGAAACAATTAGACCTTACAGGATATGATACGGGAATTGTAGCATTTTCTAGTTTGAAGACATTACGAATCTAACATCTACAACAGTGAGAAACATGGGAACACCTTAATGAAGATGATCAGAGAAACATTCGTGAAATCACAGTGATGCGAAACCTGATGGAACTTCTTGTTAATGGCTGCCCAAATCTAATGGGTCTCCCCTTTCGAATCCTGTACAGGGTAAGATCGCTCAAGGTTTTGAGAGACGGTGTATCGATGACTTCAGAAAACAAGGTATGCTCTTCAGTCATCTTCAAAGTGTACAATGTTAATTCTTTTCAACCTAGAACGGTAGTAATAATAATTGGAGTAAGATCTTGAAGGGAGAACTTAACTTCTCAAGCTTGGCACTGTGTAAGATGTGGCTGATTCAATGGGTCAGTCTTGTATGCTTTTGGTGTTTCTTCTCTCAGGATTTTTTATGAACTATGAAACAACTCTACTAATCAGAACATTGTTTTACTCAATATGTAATCTTTCTGGTAATTGGATTTGAGTTTCACCCCTTATATGATCTCTGCTGCACTTGCAGGCATGATCTACAACGGTTTTCCGCATCAGGAAATCATCAGCAACAGGAGCACCAGAACAATGGTACACGTGCACACGTGTTGCTGCAAGAATGATCCTTCTATGCTACTTCTACAAACTGCAGGGACCTTCCCTTACACATTAGCTGTAATAGAAATGTTATCGAAATAGGGAAGACTCGCCAAGCAGTGATTATAGCATTGTGTAGATTTGTTTAGACTGTAATTAGTTAGATTTGTAATGTAGTCATCTTAGTGTAAATAACAGACCTATTTATCTATAAATAGAATAGATTTGTATATAATCACATACATTTGGTTCAGAATTAAAAATATCCTTTTCCCTAATTATTTTCTTCGAAATAAGAGAGGAGCACACAGAGATCAGTGGAGCGCAACCTCTGTTTGAAATCAAAGGAAATTGGTTGTATTTACTGTGCAAATTTCACATTCAATTCTGTAAGATACCAGCAAGTGTACATGTCTAAAAATAACTGGAAAGTCTATTACAATAGCTACAATCACACGAAATCAATACTTGGTCTGAAAAATCTAGACCCTAGATAATGGCTGAAGAGACTGGATCACAAGACTCCATATGTCACCCAACAACAAAATGCAGCAAGTTTTCCACAAGAAAATGCAATTGAATTCATACAACAGAAAGGAAATGTCTCTTCATTCGTCAAATTATGCGAACATTGGAATAAGGCAGAAGGTGCAGACGCAGCTGATAGCGGAATGCAGTTTCCTGAAAGTCTAAATCCTACTATCCATCAATTAATCATTTAATCTAAACCAAATAGAAATGTTAATGAAAGTTCTTCATCTCAATCATGTTCCTTTGCTTCCAGTTGACCTACTAACTCAGCACACTTTCACTGACTTAAAAGGCATTGTTATGTTCATCTTTTTTCATACAAGCGATACAGAAGGGGTGATTTCAACATTTGGAACTCCCACACTTTCACCGACTTAAAAGGCATCCTTATGTTCATATTTTTTCATTCAAGCGATACAGACGGGGAGATTTCAACATTTGGAACTCCCTTTCAAGAACAGCAATCACATCCTTTATCGATATGGTGCGATCCATTGATGATTCTCGACCAGAAACATCAATTCACCCCGCTTTTGCAGCCTTTACTGCAATGCATCAGAGGAAATTTGTTAACTTAGAGCGACAAGGGACAAGAGGACTGATAGTCAAGATGCAAATCTGCACTGGGAAGCACTGTAATTAACTTGGAAATGGAACTAACGATTTCAGCAAAGATCTAGCTTACAAATAATCCCATCAACAACAAACAGACTCGTTCAAAAGGTCAAACATGCAGAAGCTTAGCCAATAGTACTGAGTAGATTTTCTAGATGATCAATGAAACTAGTTTCCTAAGTAGTTGACGAGAAGTCAAAAAATATACAGGCAGCTCTATCTTGACAGAGGATCAAGAAACGACTGTTGGTTCAGGGAGATTTCTATCTTATGCAGAGAAATGATGATTCATGGAATTCTTTTGCACACCGAGACTACAAGATCCAATTAAAAAGGCCGAACACCAGTTTATGAGAACCGAAGGTAAAAAAAAAATGACACTAATATCAATTCGATTTAACCATATCAATAACAAAACACCACATAATCAAAAAGTAATCAATCCATGTATAACTGATATCTCACCCTGGGGTTAAAAGAAATCCGAAAACAGCATTTCCATTTAAACTGATTACATGCTTTTACCTAAAACTATAATATCCCAACTCCATTATCACCTTGAAATCTCAAAAAGGGCAGCTCAAATTATTCAGTTTTCATTTAGCATATGAAGCATAATGTACAACTCTTTTTTTTTTTTTTTTTTTTTTGCCAAGTACAGCAGAGAGGAGTGGAAAATTAAGAAGGAAAACACTAACTTTTATTTTTTTTAAAAGGGAAAAAAAAAAACACAAAACGCATACAATCAACAGCTTCAAAGGCTAAAACCATATAAAGATAAACATGAATCATTGATTAAAACAGAACAAAACCACGGAGTTCAGAATTAAAAAATCAAGATAAAAATCCCACATACCAGTTTGATTGCCACTTCTTCATTCGTCTGGATATTAGTCCCTGCACCGGGAGAAAACAAATTTACAGAAGAACATAAGAAATCATAATTGCTCACCAAGTAAATTTTCGATTGGTGCAAAGATAACAAGAATAAAGCAAAACAGAGCCAATTTACCGACCGAGCCGACACTTCTTACCAACGCGAGGCTACGCGAAAGCAAAGAGAAGTCGCCGGTGATCTAGGATTTTAACTCACCGGACGAACAATCGATTAATTAAGAGAGAAAAAAAAAACCTAATTCGCTAAACACAACAATTATGCTGCGGTAATCGGCGAGTCTCCGGCGGTTGTTATCACCGGCGTTGAGAGAAACCGAGGAACGGGAATTAGTTTTGCTAATTAAATTTTAAATTGGGATAAAACTGGAAGTTCACATGATAAAAATGAGACCAAATTAAAAAAAAAAAATTATATATTTTGAAATTGGACTATTTTTATGTGACAAGTAATAAAAAAAGGCATAATAAATGGCCGATTTCAGCTTTCTTTCAATATCATAGTGTTTAAATGGTCATGTTTCTATTTCTTCTTCTTCTTCCTTTTTTTTTTTTTTTTCAACTGACTATTTTATTTTTATGTCTGTTCCGATTAGAAAAACAAAGAACAAATTTACATGAAAATGGAGATGTTTCTGCCCCAAAACAAGATTCGTAAGAGGGTAGCTTAATTAGTAGTAGTACAAGTGTATAGCCATCTTTGTTGTCGTGCCCACATTGACGAAAACTTTAGTGTCAAGTTATATATAATATTCAAAGATCACAGGACCATTATCAATATATTTAACATTAACCCCCAAATGAACTCCAATCTCGATGTTCGTTTCTTGGATCATTCAAGTCCTAATTAACTCATTTTAATGCATAAACAGAAATCCAAGTCAAGGTAAAGCTCTTCTTGGGATGATTTCATGATGATCATTCCAATATTATATGTTTCTTCCTAGATTCCATTCCGCATTCAAATTCAAATTACTTTTGTTTTTTCCCCTTCATAAGTCATAACACGTAATGTAACAAGTCATTTTATGATAACAGAGTAAACTAGTTATCAATAGCCAATGTAATAGTATTTTTTGAACTCTAATTATCTGAATCACATACCCATTGTGCCCCGAAAGATATTATATATCGTAAATTATATACTCCCTCTATTTTGAAATATATGTCGTTTTAGAATTTGGTAAGGCTCCGTTTGGTTAGATTGAATTGTAATTGAATTAGAATTATAATACTATTGAATTGAAAATGAAATATTAATATTGCAATTCAATCTTAATTCTTTTGTTTGGAAGATCATAAGAATTGACTAGAATTAAGGTTCTAATACTAATTCTTGTGTTTGGATCCTTATAAATTTATAAAATCTAGAATTAGAATTAGTTTTTTATTATCTAACTATAATTTAGTATTTTATTTCATTGAATAAAATAAATACTTAATTTTATATATCAAAACAATTTATTACTTACATATATAAGATAACAAAAATAAATTTATCATATACATTTATATTAGAACTTTTGTTGTTTGAGTAATATATATCAATTTTATAATTTATAGATACATACATATTTGTGAAAAATCTTTTTATTATTACGTAAGTATGAATGTGATGATCGGAATTCTCACAAGTAACATGTATAATTTTTATATAGTTAAAAGTAAAGACCATTCATTTATGTATAAATTAACATTAATACAAGGTACTAATTAATTAATTTTTATTTTTAGTATATAATTACATATGGAATAATATATATTTCGACTTCTTGAAAGCTTACATAATTTTTAGTGAAAAAAATTTCAAGTATAGTTCAAAATACATTTGATAAAAAAATGTTAACCAATAGTTAATACCATCCATTTTTAAAATAAATTACAGGTGTCGTTATACATTTGATAGTTTTTGTTAAAAGAATACTAATTTTAATATATAGATCTCATTAATAATTATTAATATGATTTACACCTCGTTTGTACCATAAATAAAAACATATGTTAATTTAACAAAATACAAAAAAAGGAAAAAAAAAAAGAAAAAAAAGCCCAACGGAGCAACGCTAAAAGAAAAAGGGGGAAAAAACGAAAATGAAAAAGGAAAAAAAAAGCGCATGTGCAGCGCTACCCAAAAAAAAAAAAAAAAAAAAAAACCTCAAACTTAAAAGGACCCGTTTTGTTATAACCCGGAAAATGACCCGTATGTGACCCGCGTTTTTTCTAAAGCCCCTAGAGTTCGAATTGCAATTATTTGCTCCCACAAAAGAATTGAAAATAAAGAATTGAGCCTCATCTTGAATTATAATTCTAATTCTGGAACCCCTATTTTTTCAGCCAAACACAATAATTGGAATTGAGGGCCTCCAATTCCAATTCTTGGGTCCAATTCAATCCAACCAAACAGAGCCTAAAATTTTTTAAATATATGTTATTTTCACAAATCGAGGCATACTTGACCACTTTTTACCAATATTACCTTTGCATTGGAAATGAAACTGTATTTAGAATGAATTTCTATTGGTTTGTGATGAATTGTATAGACAATAAATAAAGATATTTTTGTATTTTAACTACATTAATTAATATGTTCTTGGTTTTGATGATTTCTCTAGAAAGACATATAAAAAAAAATAGAGGGAGAATTATATTATCTTTAAAATAATTTATAATATCTAACGTGGACTACATATTTTTTTGGAAAAGGGAAGTATTAAAATGTGTAAAATGAAATAATGGTTGTCCATACCAAAAAGATTGGCGAAATCCCATTGTCATGTTTCACGTCGGGATCTTGCTAGCTGTGGAAAGAGCGTCAATGGGGGGCTCTCTCTCCTTTCTCTAGAGAGTTGTCTTGTTGCCACTTGTGGGTATCAAAATGAAAGCAGCCGATGAAGAGCCTTTGATTTCTTTTATTGAAAAAGAGAAGCCACCAATCATGAAAAAGAATATTCATGGGTGGCATCGGAGCATATATAATCATAACGTTTCAGTTTTTTATTGCATTTTGTACGATATTATGTGACCGATACTAAATTACTTACCTATTAGGTTTCGATACAATTTTATCAAGACATTAGCAAAATTAAAACATATATCATAATGAATATAATAATAATATCAAAGAAGTGTTACAAAAAATTGAAGCATGTAACAAAGAATAAATTTGGTTCACAAACTTGAAACAATCATCTAGAAAGTGCTCAATTTCAAACCTACACTTGGGTATTATGTGGAGGGCTGTCGACACCACCATTTACCAAAAATCTTTTGTTTATAATAATGATGGTGTGAATTACACAATTATTAGCCGACTTCCTTCCACTGAATGATTTCACAAATCACAGCCATTCTATATGATGTAGACACCTTTCCTCCTTTAGCTTTGTCTCATCATGTATCCAGACAATTTTTCCCGTGACAACAACCTTGTTTTCCAAGGCCTTTCTTTTTTTTTTCTTTTTTTTTTGGTTCTCTTCAATTTGGCTTTCTTTTCATTTTAAAAAATAATTGTTTGGGTTTGGACTTTGAATTAATAACATATCTTGTGTCCAATTTTTTTTTAATTAAAAAAATAAAATAACGCTTGATTCAAATGCAAAACTCAAAAACGGCCACTTCTCACCAACCAAATCCCTTCATGTCCCCCGTCGGTGATTGGGTTGTTTCGAAGTAAGCCTTCCAAGTCAAGTAGTATGATTAATACCATATATCACTCATTCATTCTGAGTTTATGAAAATTGTTTTGCTTTTTCTTTGATAGAGTTCGTTGATCAAGCGACGTTAAATCGAACAATATCACGTTCTAATTAACTAATTTTTTTCATTTTAATGTTGATTTTCTCTATAAGATAAAATTTTCAAATAATCATTTACTGAATGCAGAATTTGTATTTTGTCCATGTTAATATTATTCAAACTAATCTATATTCGACGAAGATAAATTCATAACTTCTTTCAAAGAAAAGAAAATTTGGCCCACTTTTTTTTTTCTTCGTTCTCAAGATTATGCCAGTGTCACCGTGCCTTTTTTTTTTTTTTCCCAGTATATATGTGATTATAGTGACAGAGTAATCTCCCCAGTTGACATTTCTCCCGCTTAGATTATATAGAATTAACTAGTACGTAATACCAATTGTGATATGAAAATGAAATCCTACCAAGAACATGCTCTCCGGAATATTTTCCCTAGACTAAAAGGTCATGACACCTGTGTTGACCATTTTTAATATGTTACTCGCTACGTCCCGAATTGATAGCATATTACCCCCTCTGTCCCAAAATTATTGTGCAATTTGAAATTTCACTTTTAGTACAATTTGAACTAGAAATGAAAACTCAAACTGGACAATAATTATGGGACGAAGGGAGTACATTACAATATGATGGCTTAGTATATTACATTATAATATGATGAACTATTAAAATGAGACAGAAGAATGTATTAAAATTATCATCACTCGCTTTAGAGGATTATATTAAAACCTTGACCTCACCAAATTCGCTGTACTTTTTTACACCAAGAAGGCAAGAAAACCCTTGAAATGATCACCACATGTTCCGTGTTATAAACCAACTTCTCTACAACCCTAATAGAAATGAGTTTGAGATTAGAACAAAGAGCTGTTGAAGGAAATGAGAATGGCATGGCACCTTTGGGAACCATGTTGATCAAATGGTTGAATCGGAAAAAGAAAGAGAATGATCTTGTCAAAGGTAACTTTGGCAAAAACCATGGAATCAATAAAACAATCTATATTTGCATCACTGTGTGTACACTGCCCAGCTTAATTTGATGATGTAAACCCTGCAATTCCAGGGTAGCTTCTATACATGGGAATTGGATTATTTCATTCAAGTATATAAAACTACTAATGGTCTCTCCGGCTACGTCCGAAGAACCCTCTTGTCTCAGGCTTTGTTTTCTGGTAAATCTGCTTCTCCCTATGATGCACTCCAAAAAGCCTCTTTGAAATCAAAATTCTCCCTCTCAGCATTTCAGCTTGTGGAGAACGCTTGCTTAGTTCCCCCTCAAAAGAGCCAAGAACTGCATAGCAAGAATGTAATAGTCAAACTCCACCTAGTAAAGTTCACGATTCATATACTACTCAACAGGTCATCTTCGGGTGATGGCTGCAAACACTCCCAAGGGTTGGCGTAGAAATAATCTTCCTCTTTCGGTCTATCTGGAATCACTACTCTTTTTACAGGATTGCCCATTCTCTCGGCATGTGCTTCCTTAACAGCAGCAGAGAACTCATCCCACGTCAGTGATCCCGCAGTATATTGATCTATCAAGTCAACTAGAAGCCTTCGGTCCAAAAGAATAGTCTTCTTGTATTCGAGATATCTGACATGATGAGACAAAAAGACTTGTAAGATAGATTATACTCCCAATCCTTGCAGCAGTAGAAAAAAGAAGTGCTTCAGAAGGAATTACTACTAACATTCTCCACAAACATGACAAAAATCAGAAAATTTTCAACTGTTACGATAAACAGAGAAAGAGAATACATATCAGATCACAAACATATCAGCAACAAGATGGGGCGTTCAGACAAAGTTGATTTCACTTAGAAAACTATACCTTCTGTGGCCTTCGACAACTTTAGCCATGTTCCCATCGTATGTTGGAACGAATATATCACTCTCAAGTGAAACAAGATAGTCCAGTGCAGCCATCTGTGAAGAGTGATTCTGGAAAAATCTAAGGTCTGACGGATCCAAAAGTGTCTCCTTTCTCACCTGTCGTACAACATCAAGGGAAAGATATGAATATATAATAATATAAGTGCAGCCATTTTCCAAAACACACTACACAGCTACTTGCGCACACTTTAGCAAGTTAATAAAGAGCTTAATCTCAATACTAACCAAATTTGGATAGGATGCTGCAAGACTAGCCATTCTCCTCTCTCCACCATATATTTCTCCAGCAGCGATGTATATTTGGATGCTCTGATCAATGTCCAAAGCTCTTAAAGTAAGAGCAGTTTCCTCAGGTGTCAATGGGCATAGACCATCCTTCCTTTTCAAGTCGGAATTTATAATTTTCTCTTTCCACCAAGGATAAGCATATCTGATGTCAAAAGGCTTATTAGCAATTTGAAAATAGAGATACACCTTGTTTTGCTGATAGCCAGAGTAAAAGAGAACCACTAAATGTAAGACTACCTCATTCTTGTCAACTCATCCACCTCCTCCTGATTACATCCCTGAGTGCAACCAGAAAAGGCCAACATGTCCATTTCATATCTAAGATGAAGCACTAGGAAAGGACCCTTTTGTCTGAGTAGTTTGATAACCTTTCTACCCAGCTCTTCAATTTGAGGTGTAAATCTGAGAGCACTAAAATTGACTCGACAACGCAGCTTCTGAATATCCATCGAAAGACCATTATTGGCAAGACGAGTATCGGTTCTGTTCAAGTGCAAAACTTTGTACTTCCGTATAAGTGGAAGAATCTGCAGATAGCAACATTGAAGAACTATGAACGTGAACAGAACAGTAAAGCGAAAACATGACAAGCAACAACATAAAATGCAAAATACCTGATTCTCATAGTAAGGTATACCAGACCAACTAATAGGAGGCATGGTGTAAATAATTCCCTGCTCCACTCTTTGCTTCAACCTCGGTGGCAGCTCTTTCAATATTCGGACTTCATCTCTCAAAGATGTAATGAAATGATCGACATCAAATATGTCTTGAAACTCACTAAAAGAGCAGGAAATAGCATTCCGTTATAGAAGAAAGAGTAAGAGTGTCCGGTATAATAGTAATAATAGTGTTATGCATGAGTACGAAAACAAACCTTGGATCTGCCCAAAAAGAAGTTTTGTCCAGCTCAGGAACTATAAGTGTCACATTCAAATGTCTTGCAATGGCTACCATGTCACATATCTGCACTCCCTCCCAAAATGGGAAAACATCAATATCACGAAGCTAATAATAACAACATGCAATAAAAATGTACCAAGCAGATTACTAACCGCAGCCCGCATTTGGTTTAGGCCTCCATTACAAGAAACCATCAAATAACCATTATTCTTGTAAACCCCTACACAACAGAAACTTCAATGAGAACATAAAACAGTAGAAACTAGCCAGGGAAACGGAAATTCTGATGGATCACGCATATAGAACACAATTAAAAGCCTCTTGTATTACTAGTAGAATTAAAAATTTAAACCAGCACTAAATATGCTCTAGTATAGAAACAAAACTTATAATCAGAACTACCGTGTAGGCAGCCTGTAAATCACAGAAACTCATGAAATAAGATGGGGAAGTAGATGAAAGGAGAAACAAGACAAAATTCATCAACAACCACACTGAACTAAACACCCAGAGAAGCTGTTGAGAATTTCAAATAAACTCGCCAGCCAACTAACAGTCAACGTGCATCAAACCTCATACAACCCAACTCTTAATTTCAGAACCATTTTTTAAACAACACATTCAATTGAAGAGTCCTTCTCTTTACACCAATAGACACCTAGGGAGGAAAAAACTCAATTCCCAGGATCAAATAAGTAAAAACTCATTATTACAAACATAAAAACTAACTTGAAGAATCTAGCAAACGAAGATACTCACTCTTGGGAGGAAGAACCCGGGAAGGAACATCCTCCGGGGCAGATTTGACATCCAACGCCACGACGGTGGCGGTGGTGGTAGATGCAGGAGTAGACTCCTGAGAGAAACAAGACGGCCAACCAATCAGAATCCTCGGGCCGAAGGTCTCACCCAATGCAGTCAATTGAACCAAGCATATCCACAACAAAATGGAGGTAGTAGCCCTCAGAATCCATAGCTTCATTTTGGACCGAGAAACCATGGAATTCCTCAACTTCTCTACTCTACTGTGAGCAATAAGGTTCCCACCTTTCAACCCCATCACCCCTAATCCTATACCTATGCCTAAACCTAAACCTAAACCCCACTTCCTCCTCCTCCAACCACCACTTTCTTCACTATGTTTTTGCTCTATTCTGCACATCCCACCATAAATCACGTCCAACAAAACTCTTTACCTAATCCGTCAAAACAAACGGTAACTTCATGTATTCCCAAAACAGCTCCTTAATGAATTACCCTTCTGGTAAAACAGCCTTAAATAAATCAAATCAATCTGAATAAATTCCAAAAAAAAAAAAAAACAATTGCCCACTATATATACGTACGGAACTCTCTCAAATCAAGCGAATCCCACTCTGTCACAGTAGCAGTAACATCCAAGCTTTGAAGCACATTTAACCCCAGCAAACAACAAGTAGAAACAAAAATCCCGATCTCTGTCGATCACGGGGAACAAAGAAGACAAAACCCCTCGATGCAAGTTTCCTTCTATCCTCTTTTTTTCCTTCTCTTTGAGGCTACAGATAGTGCCAAAATAATCCGAACGGTAATGTGGAAGCTGTGAGAGATCTAGGTAATATTCCGGCGAATGAGTTGAAGGGTCGCCGGAATCTGACCGGCCGGAGATGTTTTTCAGTTGGCGGAGGGAGAGAAAGAATCGTTGAAAGAAGGAAAAAAGAAAGAGTAAGAGAGAGAGAGAGAGAGAGATAAGAAGGGCGTGGGCGGAGGAAACGGTGGATGGTGGCGCACAATCGCACAAATTAAGCGAGTGGGAGTTGAAACTTATTAGTATTCCATAATATGCTCTTCTCTTTGGGGTGATTCGTTGTGGCAAGGTCCATGTTTTATATCATGGTCCATTTTTTTTTTCTTTTCCATTTTCTTTTTAAGAAATTCTCCCTTTTTAATTTCCTCTTTCTTTATTGTTGTTCATTTTTTATTTTTTTGCCTCATCACTTTTGCTTGCTTCTAACTTATTGATTTGAATCTCAAAATGATTTGGCATTAAAATTTGCTTATTTTCGAAGTTCAAAAATTAATCCCATTCTATGATTTTGTATGTTTTTGATACGCAAAATTAAAATTTGTCTTTCTTCATACACATATATTAAGGTGTCCAGTGTTGATAACACTGATTCATTCACTCCATTAAATGCTTTCAATCTAAATTAACTATCTTATCTTAGCATTATTAGGTGAAAGAAAGTGTTTAACAAGTGTTACTAAAACATTAAAGGAGTTGGTTCAGTTTAGGGTTCTCGTACTTGTTGTGAATTTGGATAATTAGGTGAAGCTTTGTTAGGTTTAGCAATGGGGATCATGGGATAATTTACATAATCCAATTGGGATAAGTTAACTAATTCGGTCATAACAAGAACACAATCAAAACTTACATGGTGATAATGTTGCTATTTCTTCTTAAGTATCTTTTTTTTTTTTTTTGGCCAATGTAGTTCATTATTAGAATAATTTTTGGTAGTTCTAAGGGACTAGTATTGTACTATATCTGTTCTAAAGGAACAACTAATATAACAAAGCCAAATGGAAAATAGATTTAGTTCATCAAAAGCGCAACAAAACAACCATCTTAATAGTATAATTTAATTATATGCTTTCACCTTAGATTTATGCATACTTTTTGTCTCTTGGGGGGGTGGTGAACCCTTCTCTTACCCTCTAAAGTTTGTGAATTTTTTGTTGATTGGGTAAATTGATGGTGTTAGAGTAAATATTAGTATTACTCCATCAAAAATAAATTAAAAAACCCTTTGGTTTGAGGGGTTTGGGGAATTAGTAAAGCGAGCCAATAAATGCAAGCCAGCTAAACATTGAGTGCAGACTGGGTCCCTACTGCATTTACACACACATTAAGAGAGAGTGTCAAATAATAATCACAGCCGCGATTAAGCATTGTACACGTGGCATTTCCAGTTGGATAAATCAACCTCCGTATCGGCGCCATTGGGCCTGTTACCCACGACAATATCTTCGCCGCTTATTTCCTCCCCCATTTAGGTTTTTTTTTTTTTCGAGACACCGACAATTTCTCGTGATAAATTATTATACCATAATCCAATCAAGTAGAACGTTCCAGTTAATAATAATGCTATGGTTATTGTTTTTCCGTAAATGAATATAACATTTATGACCTAACCGTCTAAATGCAGTGAATTGGATTATTAAACTGTAGTCATTCTGTTACAATATTGTTGTTGAGTTAAAAATAATTCAACCTTTGGATAAATCCATGTGTCCTTTTTTTTTAGTTCATCTTAACACCACTTAGGATATAATTTTTTTTTTCTTAAGGATAAAAGAGCTCATAAGGATATAATTATTTTTTTCTTATGAATAATTTGTGGCTTAATGACTTAGATCATTTATTCCAAAGTACAGTCTCCAGAGTTTATAATTTCTCGTAACATTGATCTAAATTTTCCCTTTTCAAGAAAAAAAAGTTCAAACCTAATATTTTAATAGTACTCCTTCCGTTCCGTAATTATTGTTAGTTTGAGTTTTCATTTTTAATTCAAATTTTACTAAAAGTGAAATCTCAAAGTGGACAATAATTTTAGAACAGAGGGAGTGTGACATATCAATAGTGAAATGGTACAATGACAAGTGACAATACCAAAAAAAAAAAAAAAAAAGAGTCCAGCCTAATATTTTAAAAAGTAAAAACTTATAAGGTGTTCGTGTTTTTTCACGTATTTCACTGAATAGTTTTAGTGTATGATGTTACTATGTCTGCCAATATTCTTAATTATAAATTACATGTAATAACTAAATAAGTCTGTTAGTAGCATTAGATTTAAGGGAGAAGATAGTAATCCTCCCACTTCTAATTAAGGATGATTAGTACTAAAAATGAAACGCATATGAATAATGCATTAGTACTTTAAACAATTTGCATTTTTCTAACACTAATTTATTTTGATTTAGTGCTGTCCCTAACGGTTTCAATTATTCATCATTGAAGTAATTAGCGAGACTAATGACTTTGATTCCCTAATCCACCATTTTAGACACCATATCTAATTCAACTATGAATTAATTATAAGCGGATTTCGTTAAAGAAAAATCTCAATTAATTGATTAATGTTTGAGGTTATATCCACTTAAAGAAAGCAAAAGCATCTCTTTCAACTTATGAATACCATCCATTTTTAATCAAGTGGCACAATTTTTTACCATTTAAAATGACTAAGTCCACTAGCTAGCAATTACTTGTAACCAGAAGAAATGATCATTTCTTAAGCTATATTGAAAATGTATCACCAATTAATGGAGCACCAATACTCGAACGATATAATGGCCACCCCATAACCAGCTGATATATAGATATCTCAAATAAATTAAATTTGTTCATAAAATGATGAACGGAAGTATACAATAATCTGGAGAAATATATTGCAAAGTTGGGTTTCAAAGTTTGTTTATTTATATTTGTTGTGAGATTTTATTTTATTTTTCTTCCTACAAAACCAAAGAGACAAGTGAAATGAATTTCTTCACAAAAAGAACTGTAAACTAGAGACAAATAGTCAACTTCATCCTAGTTATTCTCGTAAGAATTAAAACAAAACTCGTACGACGGATTGGTTTGAAGAAAACAACGTTAATTAAATATTTCTGTTTAAGTTATTTTTATCCTTGCAAAAATTAAAATAAAAACACGCTTAGGTTTGGTTCCATTGGAGTTGACTTCGGCCACAAACTACAAATAAAGGAATTTAAACAACCCATGATGCGAATAGCTAACAAAGCAAAATTAATAGATATCAACATCGACATGATTCAATTTAACTTGCAATACAATGTAAACAAGGTGCTCAACTTAAAATTAATATTCAATTAAGTTAAATCGATTTTTTTTTTTATAAAAAAAAACTCAATTGATTAAGAAATATGCTTGGGCAAAAAAATGATACTAATAATACAAACACAAGGGAAAAGGAAAAATAAAAAACGAATGATATGATATGCAAGATTATTTATCAACCCATTTTGTTTTTGTATTAAATATATAGTACGTGCGCTTGATGTTGATGACTGAGGGACCGAGGCTGAAAGGACGACCGACATATAAATTGTTAAAGTTAATTAACCAAATAATACTCTATTTAATTACAATAAGTTTTTGTTCGGTATCTTTTTATGTGTTAAATATCTGAAAACACGAATCATATCAAGAGTTTAAAAATTATTTTTGAAGGTAATTAAGAGAGTTAATTAGACGAGATCGGTCTAGAAGAAAGACTATTATTATCACTCCAAGCAATCCCTTCTTCCTTTTGCCTTTTTCCTTTTGTTTTTTTTTTTTTTTTTAAATATAGCTTTCTTGAAGTTATTTTCAAACTGAAACATCTTTAACATTTTTGTAACAAAATGCATAAAAAGTTTCACTGAAGACATAAAGGGACATTGAAAAGTTATTAAGGGTATACCATCACACGTTGGACCAGTTATTCCGTTGAAAAAAAAAACAAGAAAAAGAAAAGAAAAACGTTATACATTTCAGAAATATATTCCAAAAATCAAACAGAGTTATAATATTATTTGAAAAATACCTATCCAACACGAACTCATATTAGCCAGTATTTCCTTTGAAGGTGTATCGGAAGGCAAGTATATATTCTAGAGTTTATTATGACTAAATTTATACACTTTAAGATGAAAAGATTAACAAAAACAAATGTAAATTAAAATAGTAAAAATTAGTGGATAAAGTAATGGTATGATCAATTTGATTAGACAATTGCATAAGTATATCATAATGAACCCTAATCTAAGTCATTCTCCTTTCTCGTTGTCCTCTGTCTAATTCTACTGAAACTTAAGTATTTATTTATTATTATATAAGAGTGTCAATATAATAATTAGCAGAGGGTTGCAATGTCAAATCTGGAAAGGAATGTTGGACCAATACCTACTTAGACTTGCATTTTTTTGAATAGTTTAAGCCGCACTTAGTCAATATGTTTTTAAAAAAATCACATTAATTTTTTTTTTAAAAAAAAAACACATTTCAGTATAAACAAAGTGAATCGTGTTTGTCTTCACACATTTCAATATAAACATAGTCCTACTTTTTTTTTTATCCTCACACATTAGTAACCATGTTTCTCTTCCAATCAAAAC